GAGCATTTTTCCATATTGTAGCAATATATTTGATCCTCAATAAATGCTGCGTTAATTCAGCCTGGCTAGGAGGTAAAGTGGATGAGTCAAAATTCTTTAATTTTTTTTTCTGGAAAGGTTCATCCAAATCGTTGACCTTATAGGTTTTTAAAATAAGGCGAATCGCGCATCATTCACGGAGCTCAACAACGGAAAGTTGTACAAATTACAGATGAACTTTTCAAGAATCGGGAAAACAGCGGTTTCATCACAGTCTTCATGTCCAATTTGATCGAATGCTTTTTGTAAGTCTTCATTTTTCTTTAAGATCTGTAAAGGACGTTGCTTTCCCTTACGAAATAATGCGGGATTAAAATCGCAGCCAGTTAGAGCATGAAATCCTGGCAGAGAATGACACATTATCTCGCCTAATTTTTCATGCAACGCCGATACGTCAATTATTCGTTGCTTATTCCAAACCCCTGTTTGAATATAAACTTTGCTATTGTGTTGTACGTGAATCATATTAGCCAACATAATAATTAAAATATCCGTATCTGAGCATTTTATTAGAATGTTCGCTGTTGACTCGATATTGCACGCATGATATACAATTTTTGAATCCGCTTCTTCATGCAAATCGAGAGTAAACTTATAATTTTTTGAAAATAATATGCGCGGAGTTGGAGTGGAGTTAACAGAGCTAATGGAGTCACCCCTAATACGGTAAAAAGCAATACCCGAACGTTAACCGGAACGGCTGGAGTGCGAATGGAGTCACTCGGAGTGCACGAAGTGAGCAAGCCGAACCCACCTATGCACTCAGTAGTTACAAAATTAGGAGATTCCTAACTGCGCATTGAGCTGAAAGTGTCTACCATTTCAGCCGCAGACCGTATAACAACTCTTGGCGTAAAATGCATTAGCCGAGTTGAAAACAGTATAGGTCAAAAAACGAATTCCTCAATGTTATAATCTTGTTAAAATCACCGTTTCTACATTTAAAATCGACAAAAAAACAAGCGCATCTTGAATTGCAAGTATCTCATTGAGGCCTGCGGGTGACGTCACCACTATAAGCTGCTATATGCTGCTAAGAGTGGTGACGTCACTCGCAGGCCCTATCGACTCGGAAATTGGCGAACGTAAGCCTTATGAGGATGAGCAATCCTGTTAACTCACGATTCTTGGGGGACTCCCTCAAATCAAACCATTTGTCAATGTCTTGACTGATTAGAGTCATGGCGAACCAAGCCGATCCAATCAGAACAACAACAAAAAAAATGGCGTACAGCTGGAGTTTATCGTTATTCTTTTCTTTCATGCGCAGTCTAAGGGAAAATTACTGAAATCAACTGAAGATTTCATAGAAAAAAGCAGAAAAATAGACATTGAGGCTGAAAACAGTAGATTTCATGGTGAAAACAGTAGAACAGGAGGTTGAGAGTGAAAACAGGAGTTCTCCTGTTAAAACAGGAGATCTGGTAACACTGCTATCAGTGACCTTGTGCGGCATCACCTTGTGCTGCGTCGCTTGCTCTATTATACACGAAAACATCTGCTTCCCCCCATGGCCCCCGTCAACATTTATATTATATTCCGCTCCCAAATATACCTATAAAAATCTGGGACCTTATACTTGCGACAAGTTATTTGGCTAATTTCACTTCCAAAATTTTGTGAGCATTTACCTTCACTTTTCACAAGTGAAGAAACCAAATACTGACTAATATTAATTAATCGTTTAAAATAAATTGATATACTTATAAACAACCATAATATTAACATTAAAAAAAAAATCAAATTGTTTTTAAAATTACCTAAAAATAAAAGTTATATAATAATGAGTTTCATTGATATATTTCATAAATATCGATAATAATTATTCTGCAGTTAAATATCAAGAATGTGATTAAAAATGTTGATGTGCAGCTCACTTTTTAACGTCGTCTGCCACGGCCTTAGCCCTCATTTTTTTGTCTGCCATTTTGTAAATGACTTTTTGAATGTGTAAACTTTAAAATACAATAATTGGAATTCATGTACCTCATGATTTTTTTTTTAAATTAATTTTTGCATTCTTTAGCGCGGTCTGCCGGCGAGTTAACCCCTCGCAAAATGTCTGCCAATTTTTTTACACTTTCTCAAATATGAAAAACTTTTCCCGTAAATAGAATCCCTGTACCTTAAGAATTTTTTCCCACCCAAAATTCACCCCTTTCACTACGTACCCCCCCTTCGCGCCCCAGTTTTGCAATGGCAGACATTCATATTTATATTCGCCTACACTGATACTATTATTTTCAATATAAATTAGCCATGTACCTGATGCGGGCACTTTTTATGTAGCCAGCTCTCCGTCTATATAACATTAGAGTATATGTCCATTTTGAGGCACGTGGCACGTGGTTTTATATATATTGTCAATTAGGTATTATTTTTTTATAAAGTTCAATACACTGAATTCACAGTACTCGCGCACATCACCAAACACGACGTTTTCTGCATTTTCCCGAACTCCTAAATCGACCATCCAATTCTCCGCATCAACTGACCGTTTGAGACTGACTCTGACTGAATCAATGACTGAATACACGCAGGCGACTCGTGGCCAAGTACGGAAGCAAAAACAAGATCGGCACTGATGGTGGGGAAATGAGCGCTGCAGTCTATTGGTCCGTACAATTAACTAAGAAATACTAGTTGTGAGAATCAGGTTGCTGCAACTAGTTTTTTAGTATTAATACGAACATATTTTGGTTATTTTTTATTTAACTAGCTTAATTAGTAATCACATGTTGTGACAACCAAAATTATAGTTAGCTATGTTTTGACAACAATTTTTAGTCCTAACAACTGATAATGTCAGTTAAGATGATTTCCAGAGTAGGTACAACTAATTTGAAATGGCTGCAATAACAAAACCAGGGTGGTCGTGATAACTATCTTTCTAGTGACTACTATAAAAATTCAACCCACGTGCTTAGTTAACGCGTTTTTCTCAGTGCAGGCTATATTTTATTACTGCGCGTCCTTTATTGGGCATTATTCCAAAGAGTTATTGGAATTGGGTAATTAATTCAACTTTTATCTTCTTGACATAAAACACTAAGCTATTTTTTCATGTAATTTCATAATAAAACTTTTCTTTCCTTCCATCAAGTGTTGATGTTCTATGAGGTTAATTTGTACAGCTTAGATTGACCCAGTTTCCGTGGTGTTTCTGTGAAAATTTAAGAAGCTGGGTCTGCAAAATAAGCACAACATACAAATTCCAAATTTCTTTGGTTATGGGCTCTGCCATGTCGAATTTTTACAGGGATTTCAGATTGAGAAAACAAAAATCTGAAGTCATATGAATCACCCAAAATCGTAATTCTATGGCATTTAGAACTTCCGAAAAGACTTTGATTTTTTTAGAATTTATATAATGTAATTGAATTGTGAATTCATAACAAAAACAGTTGAAATTTTGGCAAAATTTAGGTTCATGGTTCAAAGATATATCTCAAAATTTGAAGAGAAACACCTAATGAGGTAACGCTGAACGTTTGAAGGATCCCCTCCACTTTAAAATATTAAATAAAGGCAAAATAGGGACAGGCAGAGTCCGTCCTCTAATATAGAAAGATAGTATTTTACTAAAGGATGCCGTATTTAAAAAATACATCTACGCATGCGCAAATGTCAAAATAGCGTCGCTTTCATTATTGCCTGTCTTTATTTGACTTCCAATATCTCTCTATTATCAAAGTGCGCCCTCCGTTAATCGTAAAGGCACAAAGGTCCCCAGTTGCGTTGGGTTGCCAGATTTATAATGAAGTATTAAAATTATAGTAAAAATAAATAAGGGCACCTATTTCAGAATTACATATCTCATGTAATTCCTATTTTTGGGAAAAGCGGGAGTTTTGTTTAAGTGCGCGGGAGGCGGGAGGTTTAATGAAAAACCGGGAGACTCCCGCCTAAATCGGGAGGGTTGGCAACCCTATTAACCCTATATAGGACAAAAAGAAAATTGAATCGGTTAAAAAATAAAAATTTTACAAAGGGTGGTCGTTCCTTGAGTGGGGCACACTGTATATTTATACATATTTAAAAGTAGCAAGAGGTTGGGCACAAAATGGAGGTGTTTTCCATATGAATACATCAGATTTTAAAGAACCAATCAAAAATAAGACGGCAATTATTGTCGCCACTGTGGTTTAATAGAGTCACTGGTATAAAATACAGTGACTTAATAAACCTTAACAAACATTGGCGACATAGATCTACATTTAAATCCTATGTATATTTTAAATCAGCAGGATGTAAAGAAGATTATGGCTGCGTTTTCAATTTGAATATAAAGCAATTTGAATAAGCAATCAAAAATAGGACGGCAATTGTGGCCACTCTGATTTATTGAGTCAGTGTTATATTTTATACATAGTAGATTAGTAGCAATGATAGTAGAGATGATAGTTCTGTTTTTGATTGGTGCAGATCGCCAACAAACAGTTTTCTGACTATTTTCAGGCAGTCAGAGCGAATTTTATTGGTTGAAAACAGTCAGAAAACTAGTTTCAACCATTGTTTCAACCAACCAAATCCACTCTGATTGGTTTGTGATTTCTGCAGAAACAGACCTAGTGAAATTCGTTCTGACTGGTTTGTGATTTCTGTGAGAACAGAGCTGTTGTGCATCCCACGCGCTAGTAAGCAAGAAAAAAGTAGCAAAACTATGGCGGCGGGTCCTCTATTTATAACATAAATAACGATTGTAAAAATTTCCATGTATCGAAATACTTGTGCCAAAGAATATCTTGTGCTGTTTGGCAGGTTGCTTTTTAATATTCAATTAAAGGAACTCTGAAAGTACCCAGAGATGGCGCCTCTGATGGATATTCCACGTTTCGTGCAGTTACATTTTTGACATCCGCCCAGATTCACCTGACTTGTGTCAAAATCGAATGTTCAATAATAATTGTTCACAGTTAAATGTTGTATTGTATGCTGGCTCTCGGCTCAAGTCACCACACAATCAGCTATATTCGATTTCACGTGACCTGTAAAAAGATTTGAAAGAACATCAAAATTTCACGATTCTTCTAGGAAATATGGATCTAGGATGGAGTTTCTTGGGTATTTTTATTGTGTTCCTCTCAGGAGATTTATGTAAATCCGAATTTGTGCCTGTGTATATGTGGGGTACTGGCAGGTGAGTTGTTTTTCTACCCTTAATAAAATAATTAGACCTTCGAAAAAATGTAAATGAGCCCTGGTTGACTTTATTGACTTTATTTTATAGCCATTTCTGGAAGTTAGAACTATTTAGCTTTGCCTAAAAATTCATATATAGGGTAGGCACATGACCATTAGTTTATTGATATTATGAAATAGAAATTCTCAAGGTCCAACCCGTGTCATATGATTTTCAGGACAAGTGAACCAGTTCCAGCCCTGCACAAAACTAGTCAGAGCTTCTTCAAAGATGAAATTACTAATCAGCTCAAAAGTAATTCCTTGATAGTAATTTTTGCAGAACAATCAGTAAGTAAATACCTACTCAGTTTACAAATAGATATATGTGATAGAAAAGTGGTAATTATCCACTATAGCCCTTTCACCCAATGGTCCCAATGTATGATTTTTTTTAAAACTTAATTATGTTCTCAGTCACACAAAATGTTGAATCAACATTTGGGCATTAAACAGTAGATAAATAGTATCCAATACCTATCTACAGTGGATCGAAATTAATTCTCAATAATCGCACAAAAGCACCTATGTTTATTGTGAATTTTGCCACTCCTTTTACCCTGACAGGGCCGTGCTAAGCACGCATGGGCCCCAGTACAGCGATTCCAACGGGCCCCCTTAAAGGGCCCCCAAACTTTTTTGAGTTTCACGAATGCCCAAATTTTTACCCAAAAGTCGTTTAAAAAACATGCCTCAAATATAATTTTTTTAGGTATTTTTGAAGTAAAGTGAAACCTCTTTGCTTCACAAAAATTCCGATCGCGTGAGGGCCGTAAGGGGAATATGAACCGCGCATCAGCAGCGAGACCGGAGTACGCTTGTCACTTGATTGAGAGAGATACATTATGTGCCGGTACTTTTGTTCTCAGTTTTCGAATTTGACAGAAGTTAAAAATAATCAGGGGTTCGAATTGCTCATGAATTGCTCTTACCACATCATACAGATTACAGACCTTGTCCCATGCAAAACCTTGTTAAATTCAATGACGTGTCAAATTCGTTATCAAGATCAAAAGTATCGGCCCTACATAATTCAAAATGAAAATCCTAATAAAATTTAATTTCCGGTTAAATTTAAAGTTGATGTTGAATAATAGTTTATGAATGTAAAGGTTTACGGTTTTGCTCTTAAATTAAATGTCTAGGTTTTACAGCCTATCAAAGTTGCAAAAATAGTATATTATTCAACAAGCGGGTAATGATGGCTATTACTCACGAAGGATGAAGTATGATACATACACGAGCCGCAGGCGAGTAGTGTAATCATCCGAGTAACAAAATCAATTGAAACTTCTGACAGCTGGAGGACAAAGTGAGGTTGGTTAGCACAAGTCTTGTCCAAATCAGCTGTCAAAATGACCGATTGCAAGGTTGAAGTATGTTTTCAACTTGTCGAATTTTCTGATTCGCTCTTAAATAGTGGAGTACTCAGACCAGGAAATTTTCATTGATTGAAAACAATTGAGTAATGAAAAAACTCACTATATGAATAATTATTCACATTGATCAATAGAAAATGGATGTATATTGCGCATATTATTCAATACTCATAGAAAAATGTATTTTCATCCCTTTCTTATACAAGCTGATAGAAAAAGACAAGAACACACTCAGTGCGCACTAAACCTTCCAATAGAATTCGCTATTAGTTAACAATTAAGTAACTGTGTTTTATTTTATAATATAGGTTTATTCAGGAACGTTTAATATTACAATTATTATATTAATTGACAACAACAATCATCTATCTATCAAACTGACATAACTGGTTTAACTGGTAAGTGTCTATTAATATAGGTAATTATTATGTTAATATTACCTATATTAACATCTTCCCCTTCAAATTCTAAATTAAATTTGTTTTATATTTTCGTAGAAACCGTGAGTTTCTTCGTAAAACATTTTCATTATCCAATGTTTTAATTAAATAAGATCTAGGCTGTGAACATTTACTAATAATAACTCCTGGATGCCAAAGCTTAGTAGAAACGTCTTGAATCAATACCTTTTCCCCCTCAACAAAATCAGTTTCACCGATACTATTTTTGTTGTAATACTCTTTTCGCCTGGTTTGCATATTTTCCATTTCTGTGAAAACTGCACTAGGTACAAGTTTCGGTATTAAATTTTCTGATAAAATTGGTAATTTGGATCTTAAAATTCTACTTGACATCAATTGTGCTGGTGAGTAAATAAGACCTGCTACAGGTGAATTACGATAATTTAGCAAATATAATTCCAAATCGATACCAGAATCATGTGCTTTTTTGAGCATAGTTTTGGCAATACCAACGGCTTTTTCCGCCAGTCCGTTAGATTGAGGATAATGTGGACTGCTTGTTTGAATAGTAAAATTCCAATCTTTAGCAAACATTTTGAACTCAAAAGATGAAAATGGCATATTGTCAGTAATTAGCAAAGAAGGAATTCCTAATTTACTAAAAACGCCTTTAAATTCTTTTATCAAAGAAGTAGAAGTTTTATTTTTAATCGGACAAATTTCAATCCATCTAGAAAAATAGTCCATAATAACAAGATAATTTTTACCAGCGTATTGTGCAATATCAGCACCAATTTTATAAAATGGAATATTAGGTATGGTATGATTTATAAGGGGCTCTTTTGACTTTGATCTGACATATTTTTGACATAATGAACAAGAAGACACCACATTTTTAACATCATTTATGATTGCTGGCCAGTAAAAGAAATTTTTAACAATTTCAAGCACTTTAGATGCACTGGAATGTGTTTCATGTAATAGATAAGTTTAACATAAATTTTCTCATTGAACTTGGTATCATCAATCGATCATTATAATAAAGTAAACCATCTGCAAGTTCTATATTATTCCTTAATTTGTAATAATGAGTTAATTCACCGGTCATATTGAAATTTTTTGGCCAACCATTTTTATAAAAATTTATAATATTAGATAGAACACTATCTTTGAGAGATTCTTCTTGAAATTCTTTCAATTTTTCATCAGAAATATTTAAAGTTTTATCTGTTATTACATGCACAACGTCATTCATTAAATGATCATGATATATAGGTGTTTTTACATTACATCTTGATAAAAAATCTGCAATATACATTTTTTTGCCAGGCAAATATTTTATTTTAAAATTATACAAAAATAACTTTAGTTTCAAACGCCGAATTCTATTATTTTGTATTTTCCCAATGCTTTTTGAAATGATAGATAATAATGGCATATGATCTGTATAAATAGTAACATAATAAATATAATTATGAAATTTCTGACAGGAAAAAGTAATAGCCAAAAGTTCTTTTTCAATTTGCGCATATTCAATTTCTGCTGAATATAAACATCTAGAAGCAAAACAAACAGGCTTATTATTTTGTAAAAGACAACATCCAAGTGCATCTTTTGATGCATCACACTGAATGACAATAGGGAGTGATATATCAAAATTAGCAAGAACTTGACTACTACAAATAATATTTTTAATTTTATTTAACGATTGAACTTGTAGATTTGACCAATTCCATTCAATGTCTTTTTTTAATAATTCGCGCAAAGGAGAAATAACCTTGGATAAATTTGGAATAAAATGCCTTAAATAATTTATCATACCTAATATTCTCTGTAATTCTGTTTTATTTTTTGGATGAGGCAAATTTTTAATTACTTCAATTTTTGAAGGATCAGGCAACATGCCATTTTTACAAAAAATTACCCCTAAGTATTTAATTTCTTCTACACAATATTGAAATTTTTCAAAATTAAATTTTATATTATATTTTTTAGCTCGTTCCAAAACTTCCTGTATAACCAGGTTATGTTGATCAATAGTATCGGTAGCTATACAGATATCATCAAAATATATTGTGACCCCTGGAATATCTCCAAAATATTTAAATACTAATTTGTGGAAAAGTTCCGGTAAATTACATAACCCGAATGGTGCTCTTAAAAATTTGTATGTTCCGAATACTGTACTAAATGCACAGAGTTGGCTTGACTCCTTATCTAATTTTAAATGATAAAAACCATCTTTAATATCAAGCACACTGTAATATTTTTTATATGCAAGAGATGGTGCTAGTTCCTCTATTGTAGGAATAGTATATCTTTCCCTAATAATAAATTTGTTTAAATGAATTGGATCTATACAAATTCTTAAAGATTTATTAGGTTTTTCGACAATTACTATATTAGAAACCCACTCGATTGGTTCATTTACTGAAACTATAATTTCCCTTTCAACCAAAAAATCTAAAGCTGGTTTTAATCTATCTTTGATTTTCATAGGTATTCTACGAGCAGAACTGGCAAAAGGAATAAATAGCATCTTTATGAAGCTTAATTTGGCAAATATCAGGAAAACAGCCTAAACCTTCAAATGTGTCTTTATATTTTTCAAAAAAAAATGTTTTATTACATAAATTTGAATGATTTGCTATTGTATCAATACGTTTAACTAAATTCAAATTGAGGCATGAATTTAACCCTAATATCGGAACACAATCGTCTTTAACTACAACAAATTCTAAAATATTGATATTTTTATCTGTTTCCACTTGAAAAACAATTTTACCTAATGATTTAATTTTGAATCCCCCGTAGGCAATTAAATTTATATTGAAAAATTTAATATTATCTTGCAAACCAAGTTGCTTGATGTATTTTAATGGCAAAATATTCACCTCTGAACCTGTATCAAGCTTAAATTTGATTTCCAAATCCTCCAGTTTCAACCATTTATACCAAGATTTTTCAGTCTGGAGGTCACCTGCATTATTTATTACGTTTATAGAAAACCATGAATTGGATAATTCTTCGGATAATTCCGTTTTTCCATTTACTTCATATACTTCCACATCATTTCGGGATTCATTTTGTGTTTCTACTTCATTACAATTTTTTCTTACATCGTTTTGTTTCTGGGTTTTACACACCGAAGAAAAATGGTTAATACGTGAACAATTGAAACATTTTTTTCCAAATGCTGGGCAATTACCATAATCATGCTGGGAACCACATCGAAAACATTTAAATTTGTTGAATTGTATTTTTTTGATCACTGATCTGTCAGTTTTATATGTAACTTTGTCAACACACATGTCATTGGGAATTGAAGATAAAATTTTGATATTTTTTTCTGCTAATTCAACAGATTTGCATACATCAATCATTTTTTCTAAGGAACAGTCATCACGTAAAAAACGTTCCTTCAAATTTTTTGAAAAAATTCCCAATACAATTTGTGCTTTCAATAATTTGTTTTCCTGACTTTCAAAATGACATAAGTTGATCAGAAATT